CCAGTTGATGCGATCATTATTCGGGCCGATAAAGGTCTTGTTGCCTTCCTCCGCCGACACAAGGTCACGTCGATGAAGGGGCAGAAACGGGATCTTTTCTGCAAACGAGTTCTCCCAAGCCAGGCGGTAGGCGAAGTGGCTCTTTTGTGTGCCCATGAGGATAACTAGACTCATGAATTGTTTCTGAACCCCTGGGGATACTAGCTCCCTAGTTTGTGACAGTCGGAAGACAGGGGTTCCGTTGAGTCCTGCGATAACGGCTCCAAGTGAGTTGTAATTATTCAATTGACGCAATTTCTAAACGACGGGAAGTGGGTCAGCTAATTGCAATCGAATGCCCAAAAAGACTTGTTCGGAAGGGGATATAAAAATACTAACCATTGCGATATTCATGAATTTTTCTAATGCCTCTGCCCGATGTTTAGGTTTGTCTCGCAACAAGACCATGCTTGCGACGAATAACGCCAAGTGATTGAACTGGTCAATCATCCTGTTGACGTTACACAAACCCTTCGCTGAAGCCCTATCGTCTGCAGATATGCTCACGTGGCGGACGAGTTCCCGTGGCCTAAACGAGCTAAACATGACCCAGTCGATGCGCGTCACCTCGCGCGCGAATTCATCTTCAGGTATCTCCATGAAAGCTTTCCATTGTTCCTTCGAGAGAAGATTTTTCGGGTTTAATTCCAACCGTTGGGCTTCTTGTTGGGCAGACTCCACACTTAGTAAGGTCAAGAATGATTGACTGGATATGCTGCCAGATCTATAAACGCTCGATGTAGTTGAAAGATTGGAAAAGTTTGAGGCAAGTTCCTGATTTTCATCATTTAAGTCCAACGCGCTCATGCTGCTCATGTTCTCGTCGGAGGATCGCGCAACGAAAGTTGCTGGCGAGCTTTGCACAGATGTGTCTAGAAATGTTTCGACGCTTTCAGAAGCGTTATCATCATCTTCATACGCCCACCCTAAATCATCATCCTCCACAAACTTTTCGAGAAAAGAGTTCATCTCCTTTGCCGCAAAGGCAAAAACAAAGTGTTTCTCCAGCGAGACTATGAAATCTGTCAAGCGCTTTCGGGTTTTCGAGCCAGCAAAATCGCCAGGGTATTCTGATACCCATTGAGACATGATATTGAGCAGTCTTAAGTGGTCTGCATGCCGCATCAACAACGGAGACGGTCCTGATCCAATATTTTCGAAACGAGTGAGTAAAGCGGAGAGGAGCTTAGCTGGAGTGGCGAATTTTCGATAGAGGCACAGGAAGATGCTGGCAAATTTGGCGTCTTGCTTTGACATGGGTGGTGCTAAAAGACGATCCACAAGCTCATCGAAAGTCAAGCCTGGGTCGATTGGTTTGTCTTTGCCAGTAGTATCAGGGCTGGAAGGAGGATTAGACCCTTTCGAATCGTCACCGTCGTCCTCCATATCCAAGAAGCTGCTGAAAGCGTCCGAGCTACCACTATGCCGCCACGAATTCTGCAATCGTTGATATGGGCCCTTATTGGATGCAATTTCCTCGGGGACGGTGCTTGAGCCTAGAGTTTCCCCTCGGTTCAACCGGTTTCCAGGAGGAGTTCTAGGAGGCACAGGCTGCGAATTACTTCGGACATTTCTCGATCCTTGAGCATTGGACGCCAGGTTTGAATCGGGTATGGGGTTCTGTGTTCGAAAGTTGTTATACTCAGCGGAGGTCGGATTGGCCAAGTTGGATTTTGGATTTTCAGAGCTAGCGCGAATATGCTGTCGGCTTTGGGAAGGAACCGGATGCCGCGAGGAGGTTCGAGTGGATGAGGTAGGGTGTGTTAGAGGAATTGGGGAGGGTTGTAGACTAGCTGCATCTATAGAGTGGGTGTTAGCAATCAGCAGTTGGCAGAGATGGTTTGAGCCGGAATTAGGACTCGATTGGGTGGTCTGAAAATTAGCCAAAAAGCAGAGATGGCGAAAATAATAATAATAATAGTAATAATAATAACAGTATAAGCAAGGTTAGGCCTGATTCAGCGACGAGCACCCGGCAGGCCCATCGGTGGCGGTGGATGGGCTGATAGCGGAAGCAGTGTGTGTTGGAAGAAGGGTTTCCAGCTGACGGAAAGCATACGCGAGTGCGAGGTCATTAAAAATAATAGGAGAAGAAACTAAGAAAGAATAGTGGGGAAAAAGCGGGAGGGACACTAGCGTCACAGAACAGGGAAAATAGCCTTGGGTGCCGAACTTATAAATAACACGACCAACCAGTTTGCGTGTTTGGCTTTTTCGACAAGGAAAATAAATCATGCGGGTGCTCACGGGGTATTTTATGGGTGAGGAAAAATCGAGGATGAGGAAGAAGAAATACTGAAAACAAGAAGAACAAAATAAAGAGAAAAAAGAAAACATGATAAAACGGCGGAAACGGTCGGGATTAAAAAAAAAAGGTGAAAAAAAATACAAAAATATAGAAAAAAAAAAAAAAAGAGTGGGCATGGAGGTCGGGTAGCAGGGTCAGAAACTGCTGCGATGTGGATTTGCGGCTATCACAAGGTGGGGAATGCAGCCACCAACAGAAAAATCCTTACCAGCCGTTCGAGCTATTATAGCCCTGAGGATGTTGGAAATGCATTTCTTCTGTGAGTCTGGAGCCTCAGAATACGTTTGATGAATCTCGATGCCGCCGAGCACTCGGCGCGCCTGGTCGTAAGTTGCAGGGTCTATCCGGGAAGATGGAACTTGGCCCTCGCATCTACACGCCACGACAATCAATGGGATTGTAGCTTTGGGCAGTGCACCTAATCAAGAGTGATTCACAATTGTTAGGTGTTAGCTCCCCTCGTGATAGTCCACACCTGCCTAGTCGGAGAAGAAGGGAGCCACATAAGAAAAAAAGATATTGCGGGTCTGAATGGCATAAATATACGCGATTTCCGCTGGCATCTGGCACTAGATGTATAGCAGGATGGGGCGGGATGTTTTGATATTATTAAATTTCCCACTTACTAAATATTCGAGGAAACTGGGCTACGCTCCTCGGATCATATGAATCAAACAGAACGAGAACACCGTCAATGATGGGCAATTCCTGTTCTCCAATAAATTTGGGCCAAACGATCTGACCGTTTTCGTCAAACGAGAGTTTGTGGCTCGCGATTTCCAGCAGTCGTACAAGATAGATGGTTCCGTCCAGGGACATCTTCTTCACTGAGGAGCGTGATATGGGAGGCTGTTTGAGGTCCAATGCGCGCTGCACAAACGTGGACTTGCCCACGCCTTGTGCACCCACAATGGCCAAATTGACTTGGGGAAGTCGAGGTTTTGGTGTAGCAGTAGGCTTTTGTTTATCGTCATCATCCCATACCAATTGTCAGCCTATAAAAGGAATTGACCTGTCCGCAATTTCCCCCAGTATCCTGTTTTTTTGTTTATGGGAGGGGGGAGGGAAAAGGGGGAGGTGGAAATCAAGGTACAGTTCATACCTCACTTAAGCCGTTTGTTGAACCATTATTGGTTTCTGCCTTGGCTACACTGGCCGGCGCCATCTCGTTCTCTTCAATAACAGGTGCTTCTACTAGGCCATGGCCTTGGGGTCGAATGCCGGGATAAGAGTCCCACGAGGGTGCCGAATAGGATCGGTTTTGTAGAGGCGGGCGGCGAGGAGGCTGCTGAGGGAGAGCTGGTGGTTCCTGGGCGACTTCGCTTGTCGAGCGCGTTCTCGGAGGGCGTGGAGCGGACATGATATATATATACATATATCTAGGAACGCGGGGTTTAAGAGCTCAGGGGCCCAACAGGTCTGGCAGAGGGGACGAATTGTTTGGGAGGGAGCCTGGGGGAGGAAAAGGAGGGCAGATCATATCCGAAATCCTGATACTATACCACAATCCGCCAGGAAGGCTCTGCCATTGCCATCTGCTCCAGGGAAGAAAGGGCGTGCGTGTAGTATTGATCAAGGAGTTAAAGGAACGGAGCAGCGCGATGTGTGGGGATCCGTCCACACTGCTACGCGAAACTGCGTGGAATATCCGGAGGCCCAACACTGTTCTTTCTAGGTGGATTTGTTTCTTTTTTTTTTTTTTTGGTTTCTTTTCTTTTTTTTTTTTTCTACCTTCTTTGTGCGCCAAGGGAGGAACTGGTCTCTCAAAGCATGTCCGGTGACGAGGAGAGCAGTCCTACAGAAAGGCAGGGACGCATATTTTAGCCGTCGCAAGAGATGGTGGACGAAGTATGTACCTGTATAGAATGGAGATATGCAGGGCGGAGGGGGTGTGTGGGTGTGTGGGTGTGGGTGTATGTGTATGTGTATGTGTATGTGTGTGTGTGTGGGTGGGTGTAGGTGGGTGTGTGGGTGTTGTGTGTGGGTGTGTGTGTCTGTGTGTGTTCTGGATGGCAAAATGCAGGCAGCCTAGGGACCTACACAGGTAGGCAAAGGCCAGAGCAAGCAGTGGATGGTGACTGGAGGATGTTAAAAAAAGAGCTCACGATGTCTCACTGCCGTCGAATGCACGGTTTGGCGAGGAAGACAGAGGCTCATGGTTGGGCGCTGGCTTGGGCGATGGCTGCCGTGGGATCCTAGCGTCCTCTGGGCAATGCATCCCCCTCCGACCTCAATATCAACAGTGGCCCTCTCTCTCTCTCTCTCTCTCTCTCTCTCTCTATTCTCTCTCTCTCTCTCTCTCTCTCTCTCTCTCTCTCTCTTTATATATATATATATACATATCTATCTATCTATCTAACTATCTATGAAATCTGTGAATTACAGACACACTATTTCCTAGGCCAGGGCGATGACGATAATGAGGACGGCCATGATGAGGATATACGGCAAAATGCCCCAATCCAACCCCTCTACAGATTGAGCTGTTTACTTGACTCGCGCGACCACTCATATCACCGCCCCCCCAAAGCTCCCCTTTGACAGCTCCGCGCCTGGATTGAACCGCTCTGGACGCGATGGGTCTGACAAGGATTCGTCTGTCTCGACTGATCCTGGGTGTGCTCACCTGCCTGTCCATCAGACCAGCTAGCAGATCTAGAGCCGGCATCAGCACTGGGTGGCGATCCAATCGCTGCCAAACAAAACCTCCAGTCGATCAAATCAAGCGTTCAAACTAGGGTTGAGACGATATGGGATGTCCTTCGTGTATCATGTGGGGGGCCTTCTTTCAACAGACAAGGCAGGTATCATACAGATCCTGTTTCCGCCCAGCCCAGCTCGATTTTTACAAGGATACAAGGGAATCAGAAAGTCAGTAAGCCGTTTGCTACCGGAGTTGGAGGAAGTGGATTTACTAAATGTTCTGGTAGAAGCTATACTTAATATACTGCATATTCAAAGAGACAATTCAAGGTCCTTCCAACACGCCGCCGATCCTACATGCATAAAACCTCTCCGTACCTAGGCATAAACATACCCCTGTTTTACTCTTCGCGTGGAGTCCCAGGGTACACAGATCGGTATCCTGCAACAGTGCACTTTTCGCAACGTTTACAACCTGCTGTGTCACAAAACATGTCGGTCGATATCCAATCGGGATGCGAGCTACAATTTAAACCGAGGTTTATTGTTGGGCAAAGCTGAAATGTTTTCCTAAAGATGGATCCTGGGCTGGTCATTCTCGCTGAAAAGATGCTCGTCCTGTCGGGGAGAATAATTGAAAGCACGACCAAGTGTTTTACTAAAGCCTTTCAAATGTGATAAACCCTGTACCTAGGTAAACCCATTGTGCTTCCGCTCTCCCAGGCTGTGATTGCTTAACCTAGTCTTCGAATCTCTAGGTGAAACTAGGATAACAGCCCATACCACAGGATGGTGCCTAGGCACGTTTAGCAGCATCGTACAGAATCCTAGGACGAGTCAGGAATTATCGTTGCATAATGCATCCGCTAGCCCGAGGACGTATCAAAGTTATTCAAGTAGGCGGTATCCTGCACTCGAAGCCGCCGCATGTGGGCGCCGAGGAACATGCAGTATGCGGGTATATCTATCCGACTATTTTGTGAAGAAAGATAAGGCAGCTAGCCAGCATGCACAAATTGTATCTTAAAGGCACCGCGGCAGAGAGTGAAAATAATCCCACTTGTCGTTCCGTTCCGTACCGTGGGGCAGGAAAAGAAAGATCCACATCCCAAACACCAATGACCAATCCCAAGAGGAAGTTATCATTGAATCGATGATGTTGATATTCAACCTTCTGACTGTAACTGCATAATATCCCTCGGCGCGTCGTTGTCCCCTAGAACCAAAGCAGCGAACCGCCCAAACCCTTCAATATCATTGCTGTTGGCAGCCCCGTTATTACTCTCCAATGTTTCGCGCAACCGCCTAACTTTTCCCAATCCTCGGTTGAATCCTTTCTCCTCTTTCCAGGGCCCTCTACTCCTCCCTCCTCTCCCGGAGAATCCTCCGCGCCCACGCCCCCGCCCGCGCCCGTAATTGTTATGTTTCGTCTCCACCCACTCTTCCTCGAGCGTAAGTTTGTATATATCTCGTAGCTGCGAGCGGAGAGCGGGATATTGGGCAAATAGGTCCTTGAGTGCGCGGGACGACTCTAGATCTTTGAAATCAAGGGGAGCTTTGGGTATATCAGTGTCGAGGATCATCGTTCCAGGATGGTCGGGAATCTGTAGGTGTGGATCTGCTGTGGCTCCACAAGCATCACCGGGCGCAGCTCCAGATGTGCCATTTTGAACACTATCAGGCGGTGCTGTTTGCTTCTCCGGCTCATGATTTTGTTTAGGGGCTTTGGGCGAACAGGATGTCTTATGTGCCTGGGTGCAGGCAAGGGAACAGCTGCGTAAGAGATTCAATCAGGTCAGTATTTTTTTTTTTGGGGGGGGGGAAGGAAAAAGAAAAAGAACAAAATAAAAACCCTAAATGAAGAATAAGAAAAATCATATGCCCCTTACCTCTGCACATTACATGTAGGACATCGATACTTCGACGGTTCAGTTGAGCAAACTTCGCAGAGCGCCATGACTAGCAATCGAATAATGCAATTTTCGGCGTGTTCAGAATAGGGACGTTAAGTGGCATGGGCGGATGAACTCGACGGTTGCTCTCCCAAGCAAGCTAGCCAGCTAGCTTCTCAGTCAAAATATTTTAAAACCCTAGGCTTCATTCTTTGTCGTGTTGAGGCAGAATAGTTATCGATAGTTATGGATGGGATTGGAGAAAATAGCGCTTATATAATCACAAATTTCCGGGAGCTTCAAAAGCTTTTCCCGGGAAGTTCTTGTTCCACATCAGAGCCCATTAAAGTACTCCCTCAAGCAATTGATCCCCCCCTCATACAATATCGAATCTACCCACCAAAGCACACAACGATGACATCTCACTTTCCCTCCCAAGCCCGCGCTCTCTACCGATCTATCATCCGCGAACTGCCCCGCCGCCCTCTTTCGTCCCCATCGCCGCTCGCAATCCGGATCCGCACCCATCTCTCCTCACAACAATCACCAGAGAGCAACAACAGCAACGGCAAGCAATTCCAAATCGCACAAGCGCAGATGGACGAGGCGGAGCAATTCACGCAGTATCTGAGGGCGCAGAGGGAATATGTCACCTTGCTGGAGCGGTATAACCCCGGGGCGAATATGGATGAGGAAGAGCGCGTGCGGCTGACGGCGAGGAGGGTGGGGATGGAATTACCTATTGAGGCGGAGGGGTATGAGAAGGAGGAGTAGAGTGACCGGAAGGCATGACAAAGCAATTTGGGGTTTTTTTTTTTGGGGGGGGGGGGGGTGGGGTTAGAGCCCGATAGGGCTTTATACGAACAATGAACCGTTGCTATATTATACCCGATTGTCAGCGATCTGTTCCAAACGGGCTTTTCCCTTAGCCATGTTAAGTCTGAAAACGCTCAGCATTCTCCAGCATGGCAAATTTCCACCTCTACAACCAGCTGTTTTAGATTGGAGATGGTTTTGTCACCTGGAAATGAGAATCCCTTGCTGTTTGGAAGAAGGAAAGCAAGAAGCGGTATTATGAGGTGGTCCTTCGGGGCAGATAGAGGATGCGCCTGTTTACTCCCCTGCGCCAGGTCCTGAGGAACTAAAATTGGCGATTTTGGGTTTACAGATACCATTGTTCAGTATGGCGATGGTGACCATGTTAGATAAGATTGGAGGGTTTGCCATTACTTGTTATTTGTCAAGTTTATGTCTAGGGTTTGTTACGGCACATATACCAGGGATCAGTTTTTTCCAAGTCAGAGGGTGTTTGTTGGAAAGGGTTTTATTGAACTATTGTATTTTTACATGGAGGAATGATTGTATATATAGCCCTTTGTTTGTGTGTATTATATGGAATAGAATATAAATGACTACAAGATGCGAGATATTTGCTCGGCAGCATGGGTTTGGTGTTTATAAATCTCTCTCTTTCTGGGCAAATATGTATAGGCCTACAATTTACATAAATGCACTACCTGAGCTCCTTTTAAGGCATCTACCGCAAATGAAGTAACAAATAAATATATAGGGGAAAGAATACTAACATACAATGAATTAGAGTTATGAAGTATGTATCTCTTTTCTCATTTCTCTTCAATATTTGAATGTATAGTTACGATTTTTCAAAGATTATTACTCCCACAAACGCCCTTAACAATGCTATGCTGTGTTAAAAAGGGAAATAATGACAATAATTAAGAAAAAAAAAACAAAAAGGCATGTCCAATAAGGACAAATAGCAGTAGAGATAACAATGCAATCATTGTACATCGAAAACAAAGGGGTAGATATGAATATATGACTAGGATACCGCCAGCATATTGGTGCGTTTGTGGGGTGGAAAAATATCATCGGATATTATTCAATGAGAGTAAAATTTTGTTTCGGACATTAGAGAGACGGAGAAAGAGAACGCGCCACGAGAACCGGGTATTGGAGGCCTGCTCATTGTTCGCTGCGCTATTCGGCCATCAAAGGACAGAGGAAGGGAGTGTGAAATCGTTAAGATAATCATCAGAGATCTTTTTTTTTTGGGGGGGGGCGAGTTGGAAAGGAAACGGAGAGTACATTAAGAAAAAAAAAAAAAGGAGTGAATTTCCCCATGGATGCTAAGTACGGGACAGGGCGAATTACTTTCCACGCCTCAAACTTTCTAGGTCCGCCCAGAAGTTCGTGACATCCGGCCGCCCATATAGCTGCTCGCGGCTGAGTTGAAGAATCTCGATATTAAGCCGCCGCCGCTGCCGCTTCCGCCAGCCGTTTTCAGTTTTTTCACAGGCAGGTGTTGGCTTGACATCGAAGTGAGAGGTTGTCGCTGTCGCTGCTGGTGCGGCTTTGGTTTCTGGTGAACGGCATGTATGTTAACGTAACTGTATGCCATCGACGCTGGGCTGGCATGGGCCTCTGCTACTATGACGTCGTCTGTAGCGTAAGAGAGCTGGCCGATGCTGGCAGGTGTGCCTCGAGAGCTAGGAGCCAGGCTAGACGAGCGAGACGATGAACTTGGAGCCCTAGATTCGCCACGGGTGAGCGGGGGCAGGTCTTTGACTGACGGAGGAGAGATTGATCGTCCTGATCGGCCGGATCGGTAGGGTGATGGATGTCTCTTTTGGCCTGCGCGATGGCCCTCGAGCGTCGAAGTGTTCAGTCGCGCCATCATCAGGACTTCGCTGGGGTCGGCGGAGAAGTCGTCACCTTGTTCCTCCATTTCGAATTCATTTAGTTGAACCACTTCCTTTTCACCTTCGAGCTGAAGATGCTCACGGATCGGCGCGAGGAACGGCTCGAAATATTCAAAGAGGTCCTGCTCATTGACTCGGGTTTCCCAATTCAGCAAATAGAGCATCTGGCGCTCCATCAAATTGACTTCGGCGAGAGAGAATCCAAAGTCAGCGCAGTCCTTTACGACCGAATAGCGAGCCCAGTGCTTATTCTTCGGGCTTGAATCGTTCAGGTTCTTAGCTGCGAGGATCAGGGATGCAAGGAAGATGCGATGAGCTGTACATCGCATCCCTTTGGACATGGCGGGAAGCTTAGCTCGAAGACGACCTAGATACACCAGGGATGACATCAGGGTCGGAACCTCGACGTGGGATCGGTTCACGATCGAGCAGATGAACTCGGCCAAAGAAGGGAGCGAAGGGGACTGATGCGCCGGCTTCTCTGAAGCATTGAGCGGAGGAGTTGTCGGAGGGGTTAGAGGGTTAGGTTGGCTCAAGGAGGTCGGGGTAACGTGTTCCTCGCATCTTATGACCAGCGCAGCTTGTTGGGCGAGGTATATAACCATCTCACGGGAGACTGGAAGTGTCACAAACTCATTCAGAGCGGCTCGGTTGTAATAAGTTGCTGATTGCGCCATGTCCGTTCTATAAAAACGAATTTGTCGTGTTTTGACTATGTGAGTTTCCGGCGAGTCTAGCAGCGTTGTAAACTGGAGTGGCCCGGAAACTTATTGAGCCAAAAGTCCGAAAAAGAATGATTGCGGAGGTAAAAAGGTCTCCGCTGGGCAAGTCTCGTGCAAAAGCAGAATTATTTAAACAAATTTTGAAGTGTGATTTGTGCAAAAAATTAAGGCGTTAATATAAATTTCGTTGGCAAGATTATGTGTAAAACACAAAGGGAGTGAGTGAATCAATCGCAGACACGCTCAATGAATGGAATATAAACAAATCGACAGTATTTTCAAGTCTCTGTCCAGCAGAGGATTTCGAAGGGATAAGGAGCAGCTGTCGTCCCCAGTTGACACTCTTTTGGACTTCCAGACCTGTCTGGGAGCTGCAGATGCTTCAGGAGGAGGGAATAGAGTGGAAGAGCTAGATACATGAAGAGAAGATGTCAGCCACAAAGTAAACTATCAGGTCTCTCTACCCAGGTTCAAACAAGGGGCCCACGCAGAACTGTTATACTAACAGGGATTTTCCAACAATTCCTTGCTTGTGCAGAGGAAGAACCAAGCTAAAGTTGGGAGACGCTATTGATGAAACGACAAGGCACAGCAATGAACATGCGGATCGTATCCCCCAAGTGGATCGAAGAAGTTGTTCGTCGCAGCTTTTCGCGTTGAGGGTATATAGAGGAGTCAAGTAAAAACAAAAAGAAAAGAGAAGAAAAGAAAACCCAAAACGAAATCTAATAAATCAAGAAATGCTGCAGGATAATAGCCTCTAATTATATTAAAGAGACAGAAAAAGAAAAGCGACTAATAGAACAACGAAACAGAATGAGAAAAGGCCGTGAACATGTGGCTAAGTCTTGTGAAAGGAATGGAGAACCGGACGACAATATTCAAATATATACACAGACGTGTCGGCTCGATCCGAAGGGAACGAGAGAAAAAATAGTCACGGAGGCGTCCAGATTTAGCAAGCCCTGACATCGTACAGAACAGGCGTCTCGGGGGCGGGCGGCTGGTAGCTGTCGAATGGTCCATAGGATCATGTTGGCCAAACGCACGAGCGCTGGCGTTTGACATAATCTGCCACAGTTGGATATGAAGCGGAGCGGAGACAACAGACAGCGTTAGAGCTTAGCACAAACATGACCAACGCAGGAGGCCGCAGAACCCTTGGATGCAACAGGATCCACGGTGGGAAAGGCTAGGCGTGTTTGAAAATCAGAACGTCGAGTCTCGTGAGCGAGTCAAACCCTGTGTTCCCACGCAGGCGTGACGAGCCTCTTGATGCGAAAGGGACAGAACTCGACATGTGGGCGACTCCTCCATCGTCAGGAGGTAGAACCAGTTTCAGACGTGCCCTATTTTGTCTCGAGTTTACCGCTGGGCTCTTGGAACGCCGGGGCCTTGAAGATCACGCTTGGGGCTTCGAAGCATGTAAGTCGCTCGTTGCTCGCTGCCGAACCAGGGCTCTTGATTGCAGCCGGGATGCCGGTTAAGGCTGCACCAGGCGCAACGACCAGCTTCCAACTTCCAAGGTTGGGAGAGAATGATCGAGATCCCTGCGGGACACGCTAAGGCACAGCCAATGATCGCGTGTGTTCTTGAAAAAGAATCATGCTCATGCAACAAAACTGTCCGCTTATCCTGTTGCGCCCAGCACGCATGATTGGTGGAGGTGAAACTTTCTTCATATTGGCCTCGTATCACCAGAGTTCAGCGACGGGCAGGAATTCGTGCCGTGTGGTTGACATTATTCTCATTCTGATAATTGTTTGCGTATATAATTAACATCCCCTTCCCTTAACTACCCATCTATTCTTAGACAGAGGTTTATGTGTGTTGGGGATACCAAAGTTGCCCGGCGGCTTGGGTCCAAGCGTCTAGGTGGGACTTATTTAGGGCTAGGGCTGCAGGGGATTTCCTGAATGGGCGCGGTAAACCCTAATTAATTGACTAAATAAATAATATTGATTTTTTTTTTTTTTTTTTTTTTTTTTTTTTTTTTTTTTTTTCCCCTAATACACACCACCGTACTACATTCATTTCATTTCATATGCAGAAAGAAAGGGTCAATTGATGTTGTCGTTTGCGTCCCTTTGGGTATATCCTGGCAGGTCAAAGGGTAACTAATAATCATCATCATCATCATCATCATCATCATCATCGGCGTTGGCGCTGGTGGTTCGCTGATGCCTTGCGTTGGCTAATTTTAGGGGCATGCACTCCGCCAGCAGTCGCTTGGTCCTATTGATTCAAGCGCCCTGTTCGTAAATCGGTTCTCTAATTTCCATCTGGATCTCGCTGGCCAGTCAACATTCACGGAGCTCGGGATGAGTTGGCATTTGAGGCAGCAAGAAATTTTTCATGTCTGGCCATCGGAATTTTGCAGCCCTTCTCTCACTTGTTTCAAACTTTTGTTGTTTTGTTTTCATTCTGATTCCTCACCTATCATTAGGATGATTGCTTTGATTGGGAATTATGGAACCCACGCCGCCTGCCTTACGAGACTAAGTCGCGGAGAGGTAAAGCAGCTTATTTCGCGGTCAAGGGTTGGACTCATTCGGCTTCACCCTGTCATGACCTTTTTTTGTTTTTCTTTTCTTTTTCCCATCCAGAGAGTGAGGCATGATTGCCAAAGCTTCCAAAACAATCCATAATGAAGGCGTTTCCTTGTCTGCGGCTGGAAACCAACAATATAAAAAACTCGGGACGTCTTTGATATCGGCATGGCAACCCAAACCAGGATCGCAAAACCAACCTGCCCAAAGCCAATAACAATGGAACAGATCCAATAGGGTCAAACGAGAATATGCCGTTTTCCAGCAGCACAAGCGCCCGTCCCAAAACTTCTCTTTCCTAGCCGCCACGCGATATTTTTGGATTTTGGCCATGAAACATGGGTTTCTTCCGCTCCCTGTCCGCACCCTGGGTTGGGATGTTCGATATAACACTTCCTCCTCACAATGTCCTTTCTGTATACATAGAATTATATGCATTGTTCAACCCCATTATTGATGCAACAATGCGCGAACTATAAGTGTGGCCTATATCCCTGAACGGCGGCTGGAAACCCAAGAAGGGAACTAAATTTACCCTTAGGAGCCTTATTGTTGTCTTTGCTCCATTATCCACCTCTGTTTGGCCCCATTAACAAACTCTTGTTACTTTTTGTTTCTAGAACTGTGCCCGTGTTATCATATTCTTGGGTGCTCAGCTCATGTCAGGCTCCAGCAGATGCATACTCTTGTCGCCATCTTAACCCGATGCCAGGCCACCAACATCCATTCTTACAAGATGCAGCTACTATGTAGCCCAAAGGACATGTTCGGATATTTTTTTAACGTAACAATCATATTATTTCTGAAAACAGAGCACGATTTCTTCAAATATCCCCGGCCATCACTGAGAACAGCAAGCGTACATGCTATTTCGACCTCAGTCCATTCCCAGAAGCTTCGGTTTTCCCTTATGCCCTCCTTTTACTGAGAAAATATTACCTATATCTGCTCCCTCTATTCAAGTTCTAAGGGCGTGCCATCGTTCTTCTTAGCTATGTTGCCGTTCTGAATATTTCCACCTCCTACGTCTACTTTGACAGGCTCCCACTTCACGGCGATCGGATCATGCCCACTGGTCCGTATCCTGCATCCGTTTGTATCCCAAAGCTGGAACTGAAGATTAGCCGATCCGATAACCGCTCTAATCTCCAGCTTAACGAAATAGTAAGAAGGTCGATAATGGTACCAGCGGTGATTTTTTTGTTTCTTTCCCACGTCGTCTGTAAAGATGCTGATTTCGCATAACCGCTCCGCGCCATCATCGGCCATGTTCTGTGGGAGTCGCTCGGGGGCCAATGTCGACATGACTATTTCGACCTTCCATGGTTCTTGTATCCGTTTTGGATCGACCTTTTTGTTAAATCTTTTGGATATCCCAGTTGGTGGAGTTGCGCCGCCCTATGACCGAGAAAGAAAAGTTGAGTTTCTGGTCAGCAATTCCCACTCCGGTACCCGTGACGCTCGCTTCCCACTTCCCACTTTCAAACGGGATTCAGTAGAACAGAGGCTATACCTGAATAATAATCCAATCAATCTGGTCTACAGCGTATATCTTCTTATCGCGGGCATCATATCTCACAGGCTGTCCTAAATGGATACGCGGTTTGTATGCTTTGTCACACAGGATCCCATAGCTCACTGGGCTACAACGAGATCCAAAAGGAATGACTCCTCGGTGCAAGTGCTGTATACGGTTCATAACCAATCCTTCGACGACTGCGAGCTGACTACGTGGCAGTGGAAACGTCAGTATCCACAACATATATTATCAGTCAACGTGTGTCCGGCTCTAAGATGGCAACCTAGCAACCAATTCCACATACGGTTCTTCTGCGATAAGGACCTTCATGGCTCCAGAACTGCATGACGCATTTTCGCTTTCATACCTCTCCAAAAGGCGTCGTTTTACATATGGTGAGCTACCAAATCCACCGGAGAGTACAAGATATGACTTCATGCAACGCATGTTAGATAAATGAACCATAGCCAAACTCTTGAGAACGGACGGGATACGAACTATTTTTTCCTCGGGGTGTTTCTTTTGAACCCTGCCAAGTTGATCTTCAATAAGAGCATACATCTCTTCGATTTTTACGTCGAAGAGCTGTTTAATTTCATCACTACCACAATTATTTAGTAAGCGCGTGTTGCTACATCATGGGAGAAGAAGCTCTGGGAAAGGAAGGGCGGGCATTAGAACCTGGTAATCGCAATCTGGCCATTGTATACTTCGGCTTCAGGGAAATTCATTCCAGTTAGGAAAGGAACCTTGAGCCTTAACGATGAAGTTGTCCAGTTCGTATTTGTGCCGAACGAACATTTAAAACGTTCAAAGCCTCCACTCATCATTTCCCATGCAATATCTTTTGGAGAAGCCGGCAAATGGTCGCGAACATTTTCAAGTCTCTGAAAAATCAACTGGTGTGCGGAGAAATCGATGAACACTGAACCAATCGGTTGTCCTAGTTTGCCTGGTCAGCGCTGTTGGCTATCGAACGTATACTTTTCCCTGGTTCATTTTGGTCAAGTATTACTATCTCCCTCACCTTCAACATGACTAAGGGGCTCAAGTTTAGAGGGTTCCCCTTTTGACGACAGTATTTTGAGAACGTTGACATCCTACTTTCATTATTATACGCCCTGTAGTGTTTATATTGGGGGAGGTTATTCACTCACCGTGGTACCTCCTCCTGCATCGCAAACGAGAATCACATCCCCTTTCTGGATAACCAAATGTTTGCTATTAGAAAGCTATCCTGTACATAGCAGAGGAATGCCTCGACGCTGCTTAACTTACTTGATAGTGCTGCTTACATGCATACACCGCCGCAGCCTCCGCCTCTGTGAGCCCAATGGTGGCTTTATGATTCTTGGAATCCAAATAGATATACTGTTGGAGTTCAGCACGCACGCGTGGGTCCCTCCAAGTGGTAGGGATGCTGTAAACGAACTCAACCCGAAGCGAAGGAAAATCCGGTATGGTGCCTGCGAAGTGCGAGATTATATGCTCATTAACACAGCGGGTATAGTCTCGGAACCATTTCAGCGCATCCTTGCGAGTGGGTGAGCCAGGCTGGGGATCTTTGTAGTCGGGGGAGAGAAAGAGCTTGAAGTATTCTTTGATATCAGCCTCGCTTCCTTCGTTGGAACACTGGAATCCCCAGCTCTTGAGGACGTTCGACTTGTCGTATTCTAGCTGGGTCGGGACTTTATTCGCGAGTTCATGAATCATCTTTCCTGGCCAGTGTTGGAGAGTCTTTGGCGCCGGCCATTCCGGTGCATAGGAATAAGAGACTCCTTTAAAACGGTCAGAAACACCTTTTTTTTGGTTTACATTTGGCTGGAGGAAAAGTCCTACCTGTGCCGGTCAATCCAAAGTCCACACCCACAACCACATCTGGTTGCCACTCATCATCCAACTCCATCGAGCGAGTGTCGTCGGGCATTCATCAAATGTTTTCTCCCTTGCGATACTCTTGTATCCACCGTTATGTCTAAAGGAGGGAAGAACGAGGACTGCTTGTTCTGTTCATTTTTCTACGAGAACCCAGGCTTTTGGTTAAATTCAATTATGAGATGGAGTTTCCTGGCTGAAATGTGCCAGCGCGTGCAGCTTGGTTGCTCGACATGCCACCAAATTAAATTCTATGGAACATATCTGCATCAAATCCCGAGTCTGCCAATCATTTTGCTCCCCTTCAATGGATTCACGGTGATAAGATGCACCTTGCATTGTCCCTGGTGGTCTTCAGCTTTGAACCATGAGTTATTGAAGATCTGCTCCCCCCTAATGTGCCTTGAGATCCTCGCAAAAGGTCTGGGGTGGCTGAAAGTATCACTGGCCCGCAGGATTCAAGTAATCAATCAGGGGAGATGTGTTTGTCTTTCTTGATTCTCCTAAGCCAGGTCAGATATATTATTGTAAATATTGCGTTGAATTGCGATTGGGGAGAATATAAAAATTATTATTAAATACAGTACAACGGGAAATTCGCACACTTGAAAAGGCCGGTTTGGAAAGCCACCTGCTAGAAATATTCTTAACAACAGAACGATGGTGAAAGATCTGACATATAGAATGGTTTTAACACCCACAGTACAAGCCTCTGGTGTAATAAATTAATAGATAAGAAAGAAAAATAAATAAAAAAGTAACACAAAAAAGAGCGATTAAACAATACAAGCGGTTGTCTGTTTCGACCTAGAGCTATTTTTCATACACTTCGGCTTCCATATTCCTCGATCGTAGGAATTGGGCCTGCTGGTACCGGTTTCCGTTTTATTTGCATTGTTGCCTTTCCTATCCTCGTTTCGGTCAGGGCCAGTGGGAAGCGGGAATTCGTCGTAGAATGCGTCGAAAAATAAGAGGGAGAAGAAGTAGAATCCACCGCAGTAAAACCTGTGAGCTCATGGTTAGAAATTGACCATGCGCCCTTAGTCCGTCTCCACGCCAATATCTCATTCAGCTCATCGCTGAGTGATGAACCCCTCTTGACCTTGACCTCACATCCCTCTTTCCTACTGGCAGCGAAAATTGATAGCGAGTCCAGTTCGGCGGGCGACGTAATCGTAGTGATAGACGGAGGTTTGGGGGTGGAAGGTTTGGAAGCTGGCGAAAAAGTAGAGCCACGCATATGAAGATTTCCGAGCACTACCATGAGGCTATTGCGAGAAAGCACCAACTGAGAAGTTTTCTCTTTCGCTCTATGCGAATCTCTCAAGGCCCACCTTAGCCGGTTTCTGAGTCCTATCTTGCCGCCCTGCCCAATTTCGCGCGCGACTCGCCGCGGTTCAAGGAGGACTGCTATCTCGTTGGCTGTGGTGTCGGTTTCGGCGATAGTGGTGTCTATCCATTGTCGCTCATTTGGGTGGAGGAGCGAGTCGACTTGTTGTTTGAGTCGCCTGGCCTCCTGGACCTCGCTGAGCACTTGTTGGACTGTTGAAAAAAGGTCTGTTGGTAGTCGATTGGGCAAAGTCCAGCTAAAGGTTGATTTTGGCTTGTAGTTTTTTGTCGGCGTGAATAAGCTCCTGCTCTCATTCTCCTTTTCTATTATTTGTTTCGTTATCACTCGCCCCGTTTCGCTGGATGGTCGTGGATATGCAGATGGCTTACTGTTCCCTATCCTCACAAAAGGATAAATATACATGATGCGAAATTTGATGCTCACAACAAGAACTCCGTGACTGATTTGCACTTCAGGCCCTTACATCGAAACCCTCCCATGCATGACAGATACTGATGAGGTTGAATGAAGAGGGGACCGTTCACTTCTTCTCTGTGTACGGAGTAATTATGCTGCCATCTGACAGCCTAACAGCAACGCAGTCAAATGCACCATACTTCTGAAAACGGCTTACGCGGTCGGGCACTGGTGAACATCAACTTCAGTTTTTGAAAGCTGCAAGAAAGTGGTACAGCCATTCAGGACACGAGAGAAAGAAGAGAAGCCTGTGGGACAGATGTTCCACCTGTTGCAGTAGTGGAACCAAAACAATCAGCCCACAGACAACACCCGTCTTGATTTTGTACCATGTTTATCATCCCCCTGGGAAGGGGATCTTTGGTAGATCATTAGCTATAGACCAACCAGACAAACATATTCTTCGTCTCGCATTCATGGTCCGTACACCCCAGGTGGAAGTTTGCCATGGACGAATGGTGTTGCCTTGAGGAACATGGTCTGAGATACTCTGTACTCCGTATACAGTACGGAGTTAAGTAAGGTTGGGTTCGGAGTTCGGATGGAGAGCATAGATCACATGACTTAACTAGCCTCCCCATCCATCCGCTTCTTTGTCAATTTGCCTCAGAATTCCAATAACTATAACTATCTCACATACTTCAGACGAACGTTTGCATCCAAAAGCCACAGCACAGCCATCTATCCAGAACTCGAGGAATCATCGCCCTTAAATTGAACGACCTCGCTATCACAGTATTTCACACGATATCGCACATTCCAGACTTCCACCACCAGATTCCGCTGTCAAGCGCCTCTTTAAACCCAACTTATACATCATTTCTCCCCAAAGAACCAGCAGCAACGCCAGTCATCATGGCGGGAATCTCTAGTAGTAGTCAAAATAATAATTCAAATCGTCAGCAGGTGTTCGAATGGAACCCGCAAACCAAAGTTCTTGCCAGCTGCTACTCCGTCAACACTAGGACCACGAGCCTCAGCAGTTTCCATTATTGCACTACGGTTGGCACCGGTGAGTTTCTTCATACTCTTCCATATCCGTTGGATTTTTGCAATAGGTGACCGTCTGTGGCTAACGAATGCTTATCATTCAAACACCTAGGAGCCCAGTGGTATCCCTGAGGTCCCTACTGGGCATAAATTTCCCCCAATAAGTCCTCCCGCAATAGCCTCGGCCACTGCAGCAGCAGCCGTGGCCGATCAATTCCGGTCGTCGCAGAAAGCGCCGGGATGCGATGGGGAGGCAGTGCAAACTATCACGGAAGAGTGTGAGAGGCTCTTCTGCGACACATTGTGGGCAGTGTTCCTTGGTGAGAGGCAACTTGCTCCACAACAGTCGCTGGTGGTAGGTGCGGCTCGCAACAGTAACAATAACAACAAAATCATAAACCTATCGGGCATGCCAACGAAACGGGTGCCTGGCCGAATCCAGAACTGTATTGAAGTGTGGGATTATGCTGGAGACACAATTTACAGGGGGTTTGTTGCTGCTGATGGCAACCAACGGACCTTGTTTGTGTTTTTTGATCGCCATACTTGTGCTGGGCAAGGGTTCAAGTCTGGGTTCGTCCATGTCTCTTCTTTCTCCTATATTTCCTATACCACTTTTCATATCTTTGTCCAATGTCTTTTTGATATTCGTGACTAACCGGCGTCCTCTGGTATTAGGTTGATGGCATTGTTTGAAATTGCCAGCATTTCCGAACTCGGCTGCTCAGAAATGGTTGCATGTGTTGATCGATCGATGGGCGCGACAGAACTTGATGCTGTAATACGAAATCTAGGCTGGGTTGGGTTTGAATTGAGCAGTTTACGTGACTGGGTACCCCCGTCCGCGAAGGGGCCATTTATCAGTAACAGATGGCTGTTTATGACGGTTGAAATTTGATGTCTTATTTCCTTGAACTGTAGCTGTTTTTGGTTTTGATTTTTTTTTTTTTCCCTGCTAAATATCATGCCAGCGTTACACAATGTTAGCCAATGCTATGGGTTAAATTGCTCCTTTTTGCTCCTGTTCGCCTATCCTACCTAGGTATCCTTGCTCTAAATCACGTGTCTTAAGCGTGCTGACTCACCCGCGGCTCGTTCCAGCCCAACTGCGGGGATTGAGTTCGCCCTCAGTCCTTATCGGGGAGCTTGATCCTCCATTTATCCATTTATCCATTTATCCAGGTTTGTGTAGTAGTAAGAAACAGCTCTACTCACAATCGTGACCGGTAAAGCCTCCTCGACCTCTGGATGACCACGGGCCGTCTTTCTCTCCTGCGCCATCTCCATGGTCAGGCAGTACATGGATCTACAGAGCTACAGGATCGCTTGAAGAAAACCATCCTCACAGACACATGATGTCATCATCATCCATCTTCCCAACGTACCTCCTCCCCTCCATCCCTTTCGGCAGACGCCTTTGGAAATCAAATGAAACCACCGTATCCACCCCAAAAGGCTCGCTTTCAGAGTCATCAAATCCATCTTCTCAATGCAATGAGCATGAGCCAGAGCATGACGGCGATCATGCCGCCGTCAATAATAATAATAATAATACACCAGGCTTCCTGCAGGGCCATAAATCCTACATCCGCTGCTCCCGCTGCTCAGCAGATCTATGTCTGACATCCCAGATCATCAGCAAGGGGTTTACGGGCCGGCACGGACGGGCCTATCTCGTCTCTGCCAACCCATCGGCAGACGGAATCTCCACAGCCCCCACCCCCTCGCAGCACCGAACCTCGCTCCCCAACACAGCGACGCAGCAACCGATGCCGAGACAGCTCGTCACGGGCGCGCATACGGTTAGTGACATCACCTGCCGTTTCTGCGGGAGTCTGCTGGGCTGGAAGTATGTGGCTGCGGAGGAGGAGTCGCAGAAATACAAGGTTGGGAAATTCATTTTGGAGACGAAGAGGATTAGTGTCTGTTCTTCATGGGAGAATAATGATACAACTGGTCGTGGTGATGATGGTAGTAATGTTTGTTATTATCCGCAAAAGTCGCCGTCGGGGGATGGGAATAATGATGTGGAGTTTGATAGCCAGGATGAAGAGGAGTGTGAGGATTTGTTTTCGGGAATGTGGAACCCCTGGTTGGCGGCGCGGAGGAGGAGGGATCGAGATTTGGGCCGGCGTCCGTTTTATTAGGTCAAGGGTGCAAAGGTGATGGATGGGGGAGTTCATGGTTTGCATGTGTCCTTTCAGGTTTGCTGGAACTGTTATCTGCGTCACTTTGGTTTTCCTTCTGTCCTACTGCCATGTTCTGTATCTGTTTCTGTTCTTGTTGGAGTTCCCGGCGCCCCCGAAGCTATCCCCTCTCTTATTCAGCTTCCACAATGCTGGAGTTAACCGAACGATACCCATACTCTTGATTTCTTAACTAACTTAATTAACGGAGTGACTGGCTCGCTGATGATTTTTCTCACAATGTTGTTGTTTCCATTTTTGAATTGAAAAACTTCTCCTATCCGCATGCGCCTTAAGTATCATCAAAAAGAGAATTAATACATACATCTTAATTAATAAAAATACATTGTTTCCTTACGAACAGATAGTATCAATTGCCACATAAATATTTATCGGTCAGAATTTCCGGGTATCGTATAACGGTTTATTCATTTCATCAAGCGTTCGAAATTAAGTCGATAATAATATATCGAGAGACACGTCGAAATTTTGATGGTATAGGGGCCCGCGGCCGTAAATGAAAAGAAACAACAAAACCCATTTACATCTCCGGACTCTCACCATCTAGCCTAACTCTTTTCCCAGGGCTCGGCTCGTCCGCAGTCTCGGCCTCTGGGTCCAACTGGCGCTTACCGGAGGCCTCTGCCGTATCTGAAGTTTCCGCTGTTGTTGTTGGAGTTCTTTTTTTCTTCCTGACTAATGACGAAAGGTCGGTGGCACCCTTCATGGCCTCCTGCAACATGGAGGTTTTATCAGTAGCTGAAGATTGGCCTAGTACTTGGCTTAAGATTCCATTAAGGGCATTAGAATCTTCGCTAGGTTCATTTATTGACACTGGAGGTCGACGAAGTTCAATAAGCTGCGCAAAAGATGGTCATGTCAGTACGTGCGCTTAGTCCAAAAGATCCCGCAAGGGTGTGATATATATATAACTCACACGTTGCTCCATATCCGAAACGATATCTTTAACATCATCAATGCTCCGTTTCATCTTGTCAGTAGTATCGTCGTCCGTCACGTCTTCAAGTTTCTGTCGCTCCTTTGATATTCTTAATTTGCAACTCTGAATCGCGGTCTCCATATGTTTCGCTGCTTCGTCCCTCTTTTCCTTGTCAACTTTTGTGACCTTCTCCCCGGTAGTATTTTGGCCATCCTCCTCATCAGGAGCGATTGACGAGAACTCCAAAGCCAGGGAGAGTTTGTAATGACACTCGGCAACGCTAGCGTCCTCCAATGGGAAAAGTTTCGTTTTCAAATCCAAAGCAGCTCTTAAATCGGTAACAGCGTCTTCAAACCTCTCACCCTCCAAACATATTTCAGCCTGCAAATCATATATATCCGCAAGTCGCTCCTTGATATTGCGCTCCTCTTCCTGATTATCTGAGTCCAGATTTTCCAGTTTCCGGAGCAGAAGTATGCGCGACAGGTCTAACAATTCGAACGCATTCGCAAATTCATCCTCCTCTTCCTCCGGTTGAGCTCTGTCGCCAACATCATCGTCGTTCTCATCATCTGAATCCGAATCAAAGTCTCCATCCCCTGTAAACTGAAACAATGACGATGATGGCGGTTTGGCACCTTCAGTTATTCTTTCTGCAGCTTTCTCATTGGCTGTAGAACCCTCCGCAATCGCACGGCCGATGATTGACTCGTTAGGCGGCCCAATCCCAGTTTTCGGTACAGTATCCCCAGGCGTCCCGTCCCTAGGCGTACTGGATGCTTGTCCGGCGACTTTTGAACCAAGGACGTCACTTTTTCTCACGGCAAGATTGTATAATGATTTCCCGTAGGAGTATAGCAAGTCGGCGTTCTCGACAGACATTTCGCCATTCAGCTCCGCTTGGAGCTCCGTCGCCCGGGAGTAAAGCTCTGCTGCCGCATCGTAGTCTTTAATGGCGTCTTTAGCAGAAGCCCTTTCAATAAGATCTGTCAACTGGGCCTGTTTCGATTCGGGAGGTTGATTTGAAGTTGATGGTTTGTCTATGAGGGAGGCCTGGTGCGAGGTAGCTTCTGTCATGATGGATGGGTCAGTGGGAGATTGGATATTCGGGGTGCAGGCTTTCAGCTGAGTGATCACAAGTAGATGGTTAAATTGTAGTGTAATTGGTTTCTAGGATGGATAAGTTATTTAAAAAATCAATGAATCTTATGCGCGACCTAAGTTGGTCATTTTCAACTTTAATGACTTTTGACATCACGTGCCAAAAACCGCGCTGTAACAAGGCGCGTCTTCCCTCCGCGGGGAGGATTTAGACAGCACAACGGAATTCAACAATATACGAAAGATTGCCGCATTATCTCAGTTCAAACTCAATATTCTCATGTGAAACGGCCACTAGATGATTAGTATCGAATGCAGAATGCGATGATAGCAGGAAATTGCAAATAAATCGTCTTCGGCAGAACGCTCCAGCGGGATGTCGGAACCAGCCCCTACCACCGCCTCTATTCTCCCCATCCTGTTACCTCCACCCACGCTACGTCCTCTTGCTTTCAGAATATTTACGAAAAAGCATAGCTTGACTATTACAGCATCGAGCTTACAGTTGCTGGCTACGTTTGTAGGGAGGAACTGCGGTTCAGGATGGCGGGAAGAAGGCCTCGCCGAGCTCGTCCTCGACGAAATCGCGAAAGGATGGAAGAAGCGTGGAGGCGGAGTAATCCTCGAAGATAGCAAAAGTGGCAATGCCTTGTTGAAATCGATATTACGGACTATGGAAGCCAATATGAGCGGTGGGAGGGTTATTATTCGCGATCACACCAGGAGTACAAGCGGTTCAACATTAACATTAGGCCATGAAACGGCGGACGGTGAGCCAGGTAGACCTAGCAATGCAAATGAAAGGGGGCAAAATCCCAACGAAGAATCGTTGGAAATAGGAGATGATGGCGCCCTGAGTGATACTAGAAGGTGGATTAAGATTCTCAGCGCATTCGAACAAAATCGCCCGGTCTATAATATAAGCAAGAAGAATTTCGATATAATAACTACACCTCCATCCTTATTCCCGCCACCCTCTCAGAGAGCCAACATCTTGAGAGATCGATATAACCTCATTTACCAGAGACTACTACGCAATGAAACCTTTCAAATACCACTCCAGGGATCTACCTCATCAGTATCCAGCATGCAACGATCCTATAAACTGACATCGATCGCTAATCTTCTGGGGAGGACTGGCACATCGCATCTGCTTCTCGGTCTGCTCTCTATGTCTCCGGCTGGAGATCTCTCCTTAACAGACCCAACCGGAAGCATCACCCTTGATATCACACATGCCCAGGCAGTGCCAGAAGACGGGGCATGGTTCGCACCAGGAATGATAGTCCTTGTCGACGGGATTTACAGAGAGGAGGAAGTTATCTCTGGATCTACACTGAACGGATCAAGTGGGATTGGCGGCACAATTGGGGGAAAGTTTACTGTAGCCTCTGTTGGTGGACCTCCGTGTGAGCGGCGAGAGGCTTCAACTGGCGCAGGGCATCGCGTCGAGGATGGTGGCAGGGCCGTCGAAGGTGGATTTGGTTGGGTTGACTTCTTAGGTGTCGGGAGTGAACGAAGCAAAGGTTATCGGATGCGACAAATTGAAAAAATCTGTCTTCGCAAGGGTCAGCCCAACGAGCAGCAGGATATAAGGAAGCGGATAGTTGTTATGAGTGAAGTCAATTTGGACGTCCCAAAAACAGAGGGCGCACTCACACATGTCTTCGA